CTGTTGCGGCGTGCAACCCGATCCAATATAACATCTGTTGCGGCGTGCAACCCGATCCAATATAATATCTGTTGCGGCGTGCAACCCAATCCAATATAATATCTGTTGCGGCGTGCAACCCGATCTAATATACAGTCAACAATAATCATAGTTAACCGTCCCGACAAGGGATCAACAATAGACTACACTATCCCGGCAAGGGAACTCAACAGTACAAGTATATACGTCCCGGCAAGGGAGAAACAGCCATAACCAAACTTGTTCCAACATCTAACTATCTCAACTATAACTCAACTAGTTCAATATCTAACTATCTCAACTATAACTAAACTTGTTACAACACCTAACTACCCAGCTATAACCAAACTTGTTACAACACCTAACATGAAGAATCACCAACCTAAGCGTCCATAATATCAATTAAGAACACAATGCAAGGGAACTTCAACTCAACAATAGCCCGGCAAGGGGGCAACATAATGATCTCTTCTCTTTCTCACTTTTACTTCACAATTCACTTCACAACTCGAGCCAATGCTCTAGAGTTTCGATTATCACTTATACTTTCACAATTCGTTATACAACTGGAGTCAACGCTCCTCAATGTTCATAGGTCACAACTCTTTCCACAACTTTACACAACAAATAGAAATCTTCACCAAGGCACGAATAATACAACGAGATCATAAAAATCATAAGATAAGACTCACGGTCATGCTTGACACCAACGCATAGATACTCGTCACCATGCCTATGCATCGTACTCGACAAGAAACAAATAGCAAATAGGACACAACTCCTAATCCCTCAAGCTAGGGTTAGACCAAACACTTACCTCGATGTCACGAACGCAACTCAAGGTTCAATTATAGCTTTACCCCTTGATTCCACCGCCAATTCGCTCGTATCTAGTCACAAATTACTTAATTACATCAATAAACGCTAAATGAATCAATCTCAATGCATGAAAATGAGTTTTCCAAAGTTTTACCCAAAAAGTCAAAAATCGCCCCCGGGCCCACATGGTCAAAACCCGAGGTTCGAACCAAAACCCGATTACCCATTCCCCCACGAACCATTATATAAGATTTGTTCGGATCTCAAATCGAGGTTCAAATCCCCAATTTTTGAAGAAAACCTAGGTTCTACCCAAAACACCCAATTTCCCCCATGAAAATCTTTGATTTTAAGTTGAAATCATGTTAAAATATGTTAATGATTGAAGAAAACTAGTAAAAAAATGACTTACAATTGATTTGGAGAAGAAAGGTTGTTTGAAAAATCGCCTTCTATGTTTTTGGGGTTTTTAAAAAATGAAAAATAACTGAAAAGTCCGTTTAAATATACTCCTCTCACACCCTCTCCGTGGACAACATAAAAAGACTGCGACCGCGGAGCTCCACCGCGGACCGCAAGAAATCGAGCGCGGCCGCGAAGGCTTGGCCTTGCTCACTGCTGTCGCGGAGTCCCCACCGCGGCCGTGAAGCTTCCACCGTGGACCGCGAGACCTGGCTTCAGAGACCTGCAACTTCTCTAAATCTACAACTTTTTCCTAAGTGTAAAAACATCCCGAAACTCACTCGAGCCCTCGGGGCTCCAAACCAAATGTCATACTAACTCAAAAACATCATATGGACTTACTCGTGTAATCAAATCATCAAAATAACCTCATGAACATCAAATTAAATCTCGAGATCAATGAATTTTTCTCAAAACTTCTGTAAACATAAATTTTGAAATTTAAGTCCGAATCACGTCATGTGACATCCGTTTTTCACCAAATTCCACAGAAATGTCTTAAATCATATATAAGACCCGTACCGGGCGTCGGAACCAAAATACGGGCTCGACACATCATGTTCTAATCAATTTCATTTCAAATTTCTTTAAACAATTCCAGAAAATAATTTTCTTTAAAAATTCGTTTCTCGGGCTTGGACCTCGGAATTCGATTCCGGGCTTACGCCTGAGTCCCATATTTTCCTACGGACCCTCCGAGACCGTCAAATCACGAGTTCGGGTCTATTTACCCAAAACGTTGACCGGAGTCAAATTAGCTCATTTTATAATCAAAACTTAACATTTTTCACATATTATCATATTTAAGCTTTCCGACTACGCGCCCGGATTGCGCACGCTCATCGAGGTGGCTCTAAATGAGGTTTTCAAGGCCTCAGAACACGAAAATTTCGTTTTAAAATAAGTGATGACCTGTTACATATTGGGATTTAAAACAATCAGAATTTCTATTACATTGGGATCAAGGAAGGGGACGGGGGAGAGCGAGAATTAAACTCACTTATTTAAGCCTTGTGATACAAAGCGTTGATTATACAAACATGACTTTATTTCCTGCACAGACCCAACGTAGGTCAACATTGCTGAGGTACAAATGTGTGCTGCAAACCATCGGTAAACCCCTAAATATATATAAGCTTGGCTAGTTGTTGCAAAAAATTATGGACAAAAATTTGGAAAAGAACAAGAAAATGATGTATAGCAGGTTCAAGGAGTTCCTATAAGCATAATATACTTCCAATACCAAGAGGTAACTGCAGCTAAGTCCAGCCCTAAACAATATCTTTACGAAGTTAAATTACAAATTGGAACTCCTCTAACAATTTGAGATCACAAAATATTACTCTACTTTAAAGAACTTGGAAGCAAAAATATGAGATAGTTTCTGGTAGCTATGATGATGCCAGGAAATCCAACCAGTGCATATTATCCTCACAAAGGAAAAGTTTAGACGGAGATCTCAATAACTACAACAAACAACAACGAATACGCCTCAATCCCAAATAGAGGGAGATCCGAATATTAACCAAACTAGAGTGAACAAAGTCACAGTAGTGTCAAAGATTAGTACAAAGTACAAACTATACCATTTCACTGTCCCTTACCTTCTTTTTTTTGGCATAAGGGAAGGTGCTCAGAATTTCAGGAAAGGAAAATGAATATATACTGATCATGATTAACTCCATTGCACCAGACTTATCTTACAAAGAAATTAGCATCTGTAGCCTGTTCTCGGTCTGCATGATGCTTATACTGAAAATTTACATCACACTAAACATCCCCTGCAGTTATCATTAGGCCCATAAGTTTCTAACCACGTCCCTTGCTCCACGAAACATAACTATTGTCCGGTCATCGTATTGTCCACCTCTTTCATCTGTTCAATCACCAATTGGCTAGATAATTAGCATGTGCTCCCCTGTCATACCCAATGGAGCAGTCCACAAGTGCAAGTATTATTGAGAAACTGCAATCTTCAGCAATTTTGCTAATTTGGTATGATCAATGATTTTATCACATCAGATTAGCTCCACTTCCAGGATTGGTGTTTGGTAGTCATCATCTCTCAATATGAACTGAGTTTATGCGAGGCTGACACCTTGTTTACAAGGCACGCTATAATTGCAGGCCGACCACAGAATAGCATAATCCATATTACTCGAATTTATTATGAATTCTTCATCCTTGATGCTCAAATCTCCCTTCTAATGCAGCTATCGACATTGAACTAAAGATGCCTGCAAGAGGAAAATGCATTCAATCAGTTTCTTCTGTATAATATTTGAAACTTCTAACTTGTTGCATTAAGACCAAACCAAATCGCTGGCTACAAGCTGGATATTGCCTCCTTTCCACTGGAATTCTTCCTGCTGGTGACCAATCTTGTCAGTCATTATCCTTTTTGGGGGATAGTTTGCTGCTTTCAGGATCTTGAGCCAAGGGTCTATCGGAAACAACCTCTCTACTTGCATAAGGTAGGGGTAAGGTTGCGTACTAAGTTACTAACTACCCTCCCCAAACCCCACTTGTGGAAATGCACTGAGTTTGTTGTTGTTGATGTCAATTTATTGTTTTCAGGGTGTTTTACGCATAGAAAGCAATCCCTTGAGCGATTGGCATTGGACCATTCTTTTAAGATGCGGAGACATGAAATCTTAGTTCAGGAGCTATATCGTAAGTTTCATAGGTGCTCTCAACTGTTTGCAACTATTCACCGAACCATGCATGACGAACAAGATGAAAGTAACAATTGTTGAGGGACGAGGTAGACCTAAAATCACATGAAAGGAAGTTGTCCCGAAAGACCTACTAATCCTTTGAATCAATGCAGACTTAGCTAAAGATAGGGCACAATAGAAGAAAAGGATCCATATATGTGATACTTACTACCTAGGAATAGGGTTTAAATTTGTTAGAGAACTTTTATTATTATTATTATTATTATTATTATTATTATTATTATTATTATTATTATTATTATTATTATTACTTTATCTATATAATATGTAACTTATTTTCACTACTTTATGTTATTTTGGCAATGACGATGATATGAGTTGAGCTTAAAAAGAAAAGTGAGGATCCATATTGCTGACCCCAACTTTGTTTGAAACTGAGGCGCAATTGTTGTTGTACATAGGACTCATATCCAACTTCATCTGCCATATTTTGGTGGATAAGATTTGTCATTTAATGAAGCTTTATAGGCACCAGGAACGAAACTTGCTAAAATCAGGAAGTCCTGAAATGATTATTGGCTTAATAGTAAATGGAGGATACCTTAACAATAAGAAGGAAAAAAATGTAACCGACGGATAAGGCAGGATTATCCTCCGTTATAGGGCATAAGAAGAAAGATCGTTAAGTTCTCATCATTTCATTCAAAACCATCATATCAGCAACTCTTACAGCCCTTAGATAATGGAAGGGGAACAAAGAAGAGTAGAAACAAGAGACATCAGGGTATGGGAGTGTGGGGAAAGTGAGAGATGCATGCCAAAGAAGGTTTATAAAAATTAAGACTCTGTTGGTCTCAAAATATGTCGAGAATAGACTGTCAGCTTGAACTCCTTTTCAGAAAGAAAAGGAGATATTCAGGTTGAACTTAAATTCTCATATGAAGCAATTAATTTTTAAACTAAGAATGTCCATCCAAAATTGTGAAGATGGGTTTCTCAACAATAATATCTTGTCCCAAAATTTTTGAAAAGACGCAGCTGCTTTGCAAAAACAGTGTCTACTAAAATCGTAAGTGCTCTGCTAATTTGCAAGTTGCAATGAGCAGTGAATAATTACCTGGAACTCTCAACTCTCTGCTTTGCTAGTCAAAGTCACAAAGAAAACAAGAATTTGCAGAAGCATGTGCTGAAACCCAAAGTGATGTAACCCTTGCTCTGAGGGAAGTAGAAGTTTGCAGAGAAAAAGAACAAGTTGGTACAAACAACTGAATCATATGAACATCATCTTTTGGTTTCTTTTGTCAGAAGAAATCCTCTCTGAAATGTAGCATCCTCAAAATGAATATTCCCTCACTGAGATCCAGGAAATGAAGACTCCTTTGTTCTAACATCACTAGCCATTTTGTATTGACACCCAACTTCACTTTCAAGATGATGTTAGTGTTGACAGCTCGGCATCTTCCTCCTCGTCCAGAAGCTCCTCCTCATATTTATGATAGTCTAGTCCATTATTGCTAACCGCCATCATTTTCATGTCCTTCTGAACCATCTCTCTTTGCAATCTCAATCGCTCAGCTTTCTGCTTGTGGCCCTCAGCAAGTAACTCGAGAAATTTGTCTTTAATCTCGAGAAGTGGGTCTAGATCAATCAGCTCACTATCCTTGTATGCTTCCCTAAGCATTGCAGTTTTAATCCCACACTTCAACGACATATAAAATATCCCCGAATGCCTAGTAAATACATTCGAGAATGCGTTTGAGAACCTACATTCGTCACTAAACTTCCCCAAAATGTCGATAGGAACCCTCTTATAAATAGAAAGCGATAGCAACTCGTGGAAAACCCCCACAGTCCTCTTCTCCATCTCTCGTGAAGATTGATCCAAATGTGATGCATCATTGTAGGGTGATATATAAGGAAGCTCTATCCAATCTCGAATCCACTCTCTCACTTCCTTCCTAATGAAAAAGCCCGGAGGAAGTTTCCAGTTAAATGCTGGCCTAGATCTGATCCCTGTTAACCTTGATTCTTCCTCAGCTCTTAGCTCAATCACCGACTTCGCAAACTCCGGGTTCCATGTAACCAATTGTAAAAATGATTTTCCCTCCCCAGGTTCACCAATTAAGTTAAAATATTCCGGATATTTTGGCACCAAATTTACCAAAAAATCATTCGGGAACCCGAATTCCCTCTTCACCTGTACTAATTTATCTGCACTTACAACATTATCCTTAGACATCATTAGAAGTTTGCACAACTTAGAAACCAAAAAGTTTTCATTTTTTATATAAATCCTACTCTCCTCTTCCAAGAATTGCCTTAATCTATCGCTTGCCCGAATGAACGTGACCGGATCGGATTTAGGCCTGACCCGATCCATGTAAGTATCGAATAACCCGGGGTTCAAATAAAGAAAAGTTTTGATTTTTACGGGCAACCGCAATCTTTCGCGTCGTTTCTCCAAATAGTGAAGAGGAATTACCTGACCCGGTTCGTTTAGCACTTCTTTAACAACTCTTGCGCAATGCTTCCATTTTTTGTCGTTTTCGATTGCTTGGTCTAGCTTTGAGTCCTTGCGCCATGCTACTTTAAGGCTTGAGATTGATGCTGTGAATTGCGTGAAACCCCTAAATTCATGGGGTTTCCGATTTGAGCTTCCGAGTAAATAGACAAGCCGGTTTGCGAGTTGCATACCTGGGTTTAGGGTTTTGGTGTAATTGTGGAATAGGAATTGCTTTGGATTCCAGATTCCAGGGTTTAGGGTTTTGGTGAAATTCCGGGACCCGAGTGTTCCAACTGAACGGGTTTGATTTGGGCTTGGTCATATAATGCGTTGATCTTGATGCTGGCTACCAAGACTGCCGTCAACGGAACAGCTTGTTTGGATGGGCGTTACGTTTTGTATTATATGGTATTGTTACTCTAAATACGATGTTTGTTTTGGTTGTTACTTAAATTTATTGTATTGTATCGTTAAATCCGTCGTTACGTAACGACGAAATGTGTCACTTTATGTAACGACCGATTTGGTGTGGTTGTGTCGTTATCTTGTCGTTTTCTCTCATCTCATCCTTCACTCTTATTAAATAATTTTATTTTATCATTTACCCTAATTTTTTATATAATAAATTTACCCCGAATCATAATTTTTCTTTATAATATTGCAAATTTATTATTCATATTGTTGGAGCATGATATCATGAAACAACAACATACAATCTATCCAAACATTGTATTTATCAAAAAATACAGTACAGTACAATACAATACATTACGAAACGATGTGTAACAACCATCCAAACAAGCTATAAGACACAACCCAAGTTTATAGGATGTTTGGCTAAGCTTATACTCTGGTCAAACTGATTTATAAGTATTTTTTGATTCATCTATATGTTTGGTAACATTTATAAGCCACTGTTTAAAAGTTAAAATCAGTCATAAGTCATAAGCTAGTCACCCCAACTTATGGCTTTTCAGCTTATAAGCAATTTTAGTTTGACCAAGATTTTTACTAATTTATCTTTAATAATATTTTCTAATTCACAAAATACTTTTACCAAAATATATTTCCTAACTTTCTCTTCATTCCATATTTGTTGTCCATCCTTTCTTACAAAGAAACTTTTTAATTATAATTTTTTTGTCAAATTTTAAACGGTATTTCAATCATTTTAACAAAAGAACATCTTATCAATATCTTTTTACCAAAATACATCAATTGCTTATTCTCAGTTTTAGCACTTCTATCCAAACACTTAAATGCTTATTTAAAAATCAATTTCAACTTCAAGCTTATCAGTTATTTATAATCAGCTAATTCAAACGAGCTCTTACAAATTATTTAGATTTTAGTCATTTTGGAATCAAACTTGCGGGGTGTGTTTTGTCTTTCTAATTCTTTTAATAATTGGTTGGTGCAAATGTTTGGTTGGTGAAAATATTTTTCTTCAGAACACATTTTCTCTGATTTAGGGGGAAAATAATTTTTAAAAGAAATACTGATAAAAAAAACAAGCTAGCCTTTTTTTGGGGTTGTCTCTCCCCTTTTGTCACGATCCGGATTTCCCACCCTCGGGAGTCGTAATGGCGCCTATTCGTGAAAGCTAGGCAAGCCGAGTATTATAGATTCATTAACCCTTTTTACTTAGCCTTTTTAACAGTTCAATATAACAGGTGATCAACAGTAGAATAATCATAATAAACAGAAATACGGAAGACGAAAACTAATAGTTTAACCATATACGAGTACAGAATCCAACATACAACTCTACCCAGAATTTGGTGTCACAACGTCTCAAACTATCTACGAATACTACAAACAGTGGTCTGAAAGATAAATACAAAGATGTCTCTGAATACATAAAAGAAACAGAATGAAAAGATAGAATGAGACGCTAAGGCCTGCGGATGTCGGCAGGACTACCCCGGGTCTCCACCACTGGACTGAAGGCAGCAACCTCACTGTGGTCCAAAAGCTGCAGCACCGGAATCTGCACACAGTGTAGAGTGTAGTATCAGCACAACCGACCCCATGTGTTGGTAAGTGTCTAGCCTAACCTCGGCGAAGTAGTGACGAGGCTAGGACAAGACTACCAAATAAATCTGTGCAGTTATATCATATACAGCAAGTAATAACGACAAAATCTAGCAGTTAAAGATAGAAGGGGAAACGTGCTGCGGGGAATATCATGTACAAACAAAATTACAGTAAAGAAGCATAAGGAATACCAAAATTCAACTATAAGCAAGAATAAGGAAATCAATGACAAGTGCACGGCATCACCCTTTATGCTTTTACCTCATAATATCGGCACGGCATCACCCTTCGTGCATTAACACTCTCTCACAAATATCATGCACGGCGTCACCCTTCGTGCTTTTACACTTTTCCTTACCCAAGCAACAATCACAAAACAATACGGGCAAGGGAATCAATAAAATCACAATAGAATCCCGGCAAGGGAACAATAGCATAACAATAATATTCCGGCAAGGGAAACAATACCATGAGTAATAACATTCCGGTAAGGGAGATAATATCAAAAGCAATAACATCCCGGCAAGGGAAACAATATCATAAACCTCTTCTTTTTTCCACATTTACTTTACAACTCAATTCTCAACTTAAGCCAACGCTCCACAATATTCAATTACCAATAATACTTCTACAAGTCTTGTTCAACAATAGAAATCATCATATAAAAGCATAAACAATACGAAACGGAGTCACATCAATCATAGTATAAGACTCACGGGCATGCTTGACACCGACGCATAGATACTCGTCACCACACCTATACGTCGTACTCAACAATTAACACATAGCAAATAAGACACAACTCCTAATACCTCAAGCTAAGGTTAGACCAAACACTTGCCTCAATGCCACGAACACAATTCAAGCCTCAACTACCACTTTACCTCTTGTTTCCACCACCAATCTAGCCACAATTTACTTAACGATATCAATAAATACTAAATGAATCAATTCTAATGCATGAAAATAGATTTTCTAAAGATTTCCCCCAAAAAGTCAAAAATTGACCCGGGGTCCACATGGTCAAAACCCTAGGTTCCAACCAAAACTTGATTACCCATTCACCCACAAACTCAAATATATAATTTGTTTTGAAATCGGACCACAAATCGAGGTCCAAATCCCCAAAATTTAAAAAATCCTAAGTTCTACCCAAAACACCCAATTTCCCCATGAAAACCCTTGATTTTGAATTGAAATTATGTGAAAAGATATTATGGATTAAAGAAAATGAGTTAGAGACGACTTACAATTGATTTGGAGAAGAACTTTTCTTTAGAAAATCACCCAAGAGAGCTTAGGGTTTAAGAGAGTTTGAAAAATGAAGAAAAATCTGTCTAATTCCCAATTAACTAGTCGCAGATGTCGCAATTGCTACAGGAGCTTCGCGATTGCGAAGCTCGCAAATGCGAACAAGGCCTCGCATTTGCGAACCTGGGCATTGTCTGCTAACCTCTCAATTGCGAACAAGTTGTCGAAATTGCGATAATGGCCCTCCCCTGATGACTTCGCATTTGCGAAGGATGGTTCGCAATTGCGAACACTGGCAGGCCTAGGCTTTCTTCGCAAATGTGATCAAGCCCTCTCAATTGTCAAGCCTGTTGGGCTCGCAGTTGCGAGATCAGAGCCTCCAACACAGCTGAACCTGCAACAGACATTTCTCTAAGTCCAAATTCACTTCGTGGAGTATCTAAAACTCACTCGAGCCCTCAGGGTACCAAACCAAACATGCACGCAAGTCCAAAAACATCATACGAACTTGCTCGTGCAATCAAATCATCAAACTAACATCAAAAACTATGAATTAAACCTCAAATTCATGGAATCACTCAAGAACATCAAAATTTTCATTTTCTCAAATAAAGGTCCGATTTATACTAAAAGAACTCTGATTCTTACCAAACTTCATAGATTCAACTTAATTATTATTTCAAACTTGTACCGGGCTCCGAAACCAAGATAGGGGTTCTAAAAGCCTTTATATTTTCCAAAAAATAATTTTTTTTAAAAATTCATTTCTTGGGCTTGGGACCTCGGAATTCGATTCCGGGCATACGCCAAAGTCCTATACTTTACTAAGGACCCTACGAGATCGTCGGATCACGGGTCCGGGTCCATTTACCAAGAATATTGACCAAAGTCAACTTTATTCAATTTTAAAAGCCAATTTCCTTATTTTACTTAATTTTCACATAAAAGCTTTCCGGAAATGCGCCCGGACTGCACATGCAAATCGAGGTGAGATAAAAAGAGGTTTTAAGGCATCTTATTTGGGTCATCACTTTATCCACCTCTAAAATAATCGTTCATCCTCGAACGGACATAAGAAAAGTACCTAAGTTGGAGAAAAGATGGGGATATCGGCTCCACATATCGGACTCCCAAGTCGCTACCTCAACAGGTTGACCTCTCCACGGAACATGAACGGAAGGGAAATTCTTCGATCTCAACTGACGAACCTGCCGGTCTAGAATATCTATCGGCTCTTCCTCATAGGACAAATCCTTGTCCAACTGGACAATGCTGAAGTCTAACACGTGGGATGGATCGCCGTGATACTTTCGAAGCATGGACACATGAAAAACTGGATGCACGGCTGATAAAATCGACGGCAATGCAAGTCTGTAAGCCACCTCTCCCACTCGATCAAGAATCTGAAAAGGACCAATGAATATAGGGCTTAGCTTGCCCTTCTTTCCAAATCTCATCACGCCCTTCATAGGCGACACCCGAAGCAACTCCCGCTCGCCGACCATGAATGCCACATCACGAATCTTACGGTCGGCATAACTCTTTTTCCTGGACTGAGCTGTATGAAGCCTATCCTGGATAATCTTAACCTTTTCTAAGGCATCCTGTACTAGATTCGTACCCAACAACCGACCCTCTCCCGACTCAAACCACCCAACCGGTGACCGACATTGCCTACCATATAAAGCCTCATAAGGAGCCATCTAGATGCTCGACTGGTAGCTGTTGTTGTAGGCAAACTCCGCTAAAGGCAAGAATTGATCCTACGAGCCTCTAAAGTCAATAACATAAGCACGGAGCATATCCACCAAAATCTGAATTGTACACTCGGACTGCCCGTCCGTCTGAGGATGAAATGATGTGCTCAACTCGATCTGTATGCCCAATTCATGCTGAACTACCTTCCAGAAATGCGAGGTAAACTGTGTACCCCGATCAGAAATGATAGACAAGGGCACGCCATGAAGACGAAAAACCTCCCGGATATAGATCTCGGCTAACCTCTCAGAAGAATAGGAAACTGCCACAGGAATGAAATGTGCTGACTTGGTCAGCCTATCAACAATAACACACACTGTATTGAACTTCCTCTGTGT